AAACAACCCTCCATTATAGTATTCAAAGAGCAGTTGCCGTGAAGAGCAAGTGTAGATGCTAGCGCTCTAATTTCATGAGGATTAGATGCTCTTGGAGGGTCGAGTCCTGCAGCCTTGTAGGCACGTAGTATGACAGTACTGATCCAAATGGAGATAGTAGTACGTGAGACTTCAGTCTGCGTAGCTGTCGATAGAGGAATAAATAATCTCTTGAATTTTAGTCTCCTCTGTTTGGATCGTTGGACATATATTTTCAGTGCTCTTACTGGGCAAAGTGATAGATCCATCGTATCATGAGGTCCAAGAATAGATGAGAGAGCTGGGACGTGAAATAACCTGTCTGGTTGGCCTGGTAATTGGTTCTTGGCGATAAAATCCCAACGTAGTCCCATATGCACGATGTTATGAATGTCATCAAAGCGTGTTCTCTCGTAATCTAATGCGTGAATCTCTGACATCCTGGCAGCTGTAACTAGAGATAACAGGAACAAAGTTTTCTGAGTAAAATTTCGAACGATGTAGATTCTAATGGTTCATATGCCTCACTTGTGAGGTGTTGGAGCACTACATTTAGGTCCCGAGCTTGAGCCTGAAATCTGCGTTTCTGATCCTCCAATCGGAATGCACGTAGTAAGGCCAGTAACTCTGGGTCTTGGTTAGCTTGACACCCGTTCTCATAGTTATGACAGAGCTTATTGCTGCAAGATATGAGGATAAGGTGAAGCCTTTTAGATTTTTAGTCTGACGTAGATAACATAAGTAGTCAGCTACTTGTGGATGAGTAGCATATCTAGCTGTAAATCCTTTCTTTGCAGCATAATTTACAAAACTGTGCCACTTGTCATCATACAAGTTGCGAGTGGAGTTACACAAGGCAAGCGTGACTGCTTTCGCCGCTCTTGCTGAATAACCTCTTTTATTTAGACACGACCTAATACAGTCCATACGTGAAGTTGGAATGCTTCTGGCTTTCCGTGTGCTTGTTTGGTGTGCGGATGTATTAACAGATTCGGGCACTTTGGAAGTTGTAGTATTGGTTGTCCGATTTCTTGAATAAGAGTTGGAAACCACGTTTTCGCTGGCCAGTAGGGCGCGACCAAAATCAGTTGGAGGCTCTGAGTTTGCTTGATTTTGAGTAACACTTGTGGGATTAACGCTGGTGGAGGGAACGCGTACGCGTTGAGTCCTTCCTTGTAGTAACGCGTCTACGTAGAGATGTGTTTTCAATTCCGGCTCTATTAAAGAGACGCCTTCGCAAACATTCGATCTCTTGGTCCACCATAGTAGGTGAAGTTTGACGTGATCCGGTAGACTGAACGGTAGATGGTCGTCGAGATGTGAATTGATGAGGACTTGCAACGGACTTAGCTGTAGTCTGCCTCTGACTGTCATGTCTTGAGCTGACGTGAGTAACCCCAACAGGCTCTGCCACTGTCGTAGTGGTGATGGAGAGAGTAAGGCTTGTGGGATTGACTGTTGGATCTTGATCCATCGGTCCTCCGGTACAACTATACGATTCTGCGCCATTACAGATCGAATACCTAGAAATTGCAGATCTTGCGTTGGTTCTAGGTCCGACTTAAGTAGATTTACTAACCATCCTAGTTGTGTTAGTAGCTTGATGATGAAGTTCAACTGTAGTCTGAGACGCTGTGGATCTGGATCCACTTGTATCCCGTCATCGAGGTAAAACGCGCTGCGAAGTCCTTGACGATTTAGGTATGAGATGATAGGTTTCGTCACTCTTGTGAACAACCAGGGGTGACTGCCATCGTTGAACTTTATGTAAAAATCGCCTGACTGCCGTGCCCTCGTCCTTGACAGGGGAGGTCTCTAACCTCATGAAGGCAGCCCAATCATGAAGGTTCAGTTTAACTGGACTGTAATGGAGGCTTTGCTCGTTCACTGATATGTTGTTGTCACTTGCAACCTATGTCTTGAACTGTGAACTATGATCGACCTCTGCGTAGGGCGTTGTCCCTCGCGGTCCAATCAGAACAAGGCATTTTGATTCTGTAGTGTACCCACGCTGTGATGTCACCGGTGTAGCAGGAAAAGGAACCTCGTATAATCTAGTGCCGTCATTGATATTTGATCAATCATCGGTCTAGTCCGTAACTTCCCGAAGTTACACGAGTGACCACGTGTTTCGAGGGTTAATGGTAAACACGCGAATCTTTCGCCGCGAATTACCTCGCCCTGTAATATTAATGCTGGGTAGGTTGTTTTCCTGGCTGCTGTGAATGAAACTTCAGTCTTGAAGATAATGCCGTCGTCCTTATATATAGGCTCAATAAAACTTGCAAGTTGTCAGCTTGTAGACTGCATACATCAATGCAGCGTCATAATTGGAGAATTAATGCTGAACTTGTTGTACATATTTCTTCTCAGGAAATCGTTGACGATTATGTGTTTTACTCGCTGTAACAAGGCTGCTGCTCAATTTCGTTATTGAATTGTCTGCAGATCTGTCCGAAGGTGAAGATCTCTATGATGTCATAAATCTACTAATGTAGATATATCAATCTAGGTGAATCCCATCCTGGATTCCGACTGATGGTCCATGCTAGTGATGAATTATGATACCAAGTATCTTTCTTGTAGTGTATTATCTATCTTCCGTCTGTGTACCGAAGAAGATATTTCCATTCCCAAGATGATGCTATTTCGTGTCCTAGTTGTATGATCTTGACGATCTGCGTAGTGATCTGCATAGTGGTCAACTTGGTGTGACTGTATGGCGTCTTGCATGTAGATAATCGTATCGTAATCTGGGATTGCATACCTAGCAATATATACAGAAATGGTGATTCCTGTGATGATCTGCGAAACATCGTTGATGCCCTTGATGTAGGTAGTCGGCCTGAAGATCCTTAATTAGGCTCTTCATCTGTAAATAGTACTTCGCGTAACTATATAACGTTCAAGTTAAAAAGTTAAGTACTGCGACATCTCTGTCTTGTGGATGTCTGTGCGAATACCTTCTCGCAGGCTCGGTAATGACATATAGCGTTCTGTTGATAATATAAATACAGCGACCTTCTGTGTAAATAGCCTGTGCGAATGCCTTCACGTAGGCTTGTAGACGGCATGTGGCATACAGTTGATAGAAAAGTACTGCAATGTCTCTGCTTTGCTGGATACTTGTGTGTAAATCGGCGAGGGGGATCGACGTGGTGAATAGCCTAACGAACTGTGCTTGTAGGGTGACCTGTAGCTTCGCTAAGGTCCTAATGAATCCCTCGACGAACTATAGGACGAAGATGTCTTGAACGGACTGACGAGTGGCTTCTATAAGGAGACCTTCGTGGAGACTTCCTTGGCGAACGATGGTGGCTACGTGAAGCTCTCGGTGAATCCCTTATAGATCTTCGGGATGAAGATGACTTGGAGCCACTTAACCTTCGTGAAGGTTGTGAGTCTGAGTCCGAATCATTAGATAGGATCTGCTTCGCGAACGACCTCTGTGTTCCTCAAGGTCTGAGCTCGGTGAAGCACTCCTCCTCCATGAAGCCTTTCGCGAATGGTGAGGATCAAGGTCCTTCGTGGAGGCGGGCTGGGACATCCTTCGCGAAGGCTTCCATACGACTGGGTTGCCCTTCGTGGAGGTGCGTCTGTGGGCTCAGAGGCCGTACGCGAAGTCATGCCAGCGGGTTCAAAGGCCCTACACGACTGTAAGTGGGGTGGGCTCAAAGGCCCGTGGCTCAAAGGCCTCTGTAGACCATATCGATCTTCCATCAGCTTCATGATGTGGTTGACCAGGTCGTCTGGGACAGTCTGCGCTGATGTAGACGCTGCCTTCTCTATGGTAGCGACGGGACCCTCAGGTAGATTCTCTGCCGTCAGTGTAGGCAACCCCGACTGAGTGCTGATCTGCGTTGAGGTGACGGTAGCCGATACTGGTCGCTTCTTTCGCCGCACATCTGGAATGATGATCGGTTGGTCGTCATCATATAGGCCCAACTCTGATACAGGAAGTATGTCAGTTGAAAAAAATACTGCTAGTCTTCGTAGGTTTTCCTTTCGACGAAGATGTAGCCTTGGGGGTGCGGAGTGTACGTTGTGATGACGTGGAAGCCCTCCTGGTCTTAGGCTGGGACGACAGGATGTCCGGGATGCAGGTCGCTTCTTGGAGATAGCGGACTGCATCCCACGCCTCTCCCCCGAGGGTAACTCAAGCGGAACACCAGACGGCAGGGGGTCGTCCGCCAACAGTTGACAGGGTATATCAGACTCTGGTGTATTAGCCATGACTGAGGTCTGTTTCCGTGATCTATCTGCTGCGCGTCTCAAGACGCAAAATATTTATCAAAGGCAGAATTAGATAATTTAATACAATAATTGCAACGTGAAACTGTAGAGCATGGCGTAGTACAACTAGGGCATATTAAATGCGGATCAGCAGCAGAGAAACGTAATTTACAAACAGTGCAGATTTTCATCAACGCAATCTACTGAGCAAACACGGCGAACCGTGAATAAAACAGTAGAAACACGAATAAATATCAATGCATTATGTTGAAGGATACTAGCTACACCTCTATAGAAGCCTATAAGAGGTGAATAACTAATAATAAACAAAGGATATAATGTGTAGGGAGACACAGGCGCTCTCACATCCTGCTCACTGGGCGAAGAAGGAGAGAGTGAGGCACATGGCAGGAGGTGGCGTCCTCGTTCCCGCGCTTTTGAGGGGACAGATAACTCGTGGTGAGTACTAATTAGTGATTTTACATTGAAGGGAAATTCAATTGGGAGATACAAGTGTTCCACTGTGTTCGCAAGAAGAAGAAGACAAGCAAATAGCATGAGTCAGGATAAGGAAAATTTTTGTCTGTGTTATCAAAATAAATCTATAAATCTGTCCATACACGTTACAAGCAACAAATACATTTCACACATCAATAATCATGTTTGTTAATCCATCATAACATCACTTACCTTTGCTGAGTTGAGTGAAGCATATGGTGTGTGTAGTTTGTCAAATATGTTGATAGCTTCCTCATGCTTGTGCTTCTTCATGGCTGAACAACCAACGGCATACTGGACCTCAGACATCAACACTTTGGTGATGGCTTCATCCAGGTCCTGGTCTGTGTCATCCTTGAACAGTCGGTGCTTTGGCACTGGGGGGGTTCCGGTTCCTGGCAACAAACAGCACACTAACACTCCATGTTCTGTCAGACATAAAATACTAAGTAGGGTCTTAGACTAGATTTACTTGTCACCCAATAAATCCTGAAGAATTGCTTTCAAAGTTGTTAAGATAAACAGTCATCAAATTCCATGCCAGGTTGCCAAAAGGCTTCTAAATTATGCTGAGAAACAGTACATATTCAAAGATGGTAGCCTCACTGAGTAGCACCATTTGAGGGATATAACTTTTGGCCTGCTCTCAATGCTTTGCTTCACTTTTGCTATCAGTTGGAACGAACAAAACTTACCAAAAATGAAACATGGTACACATTTTCATCTAGTACAAGTAGATGAAGCAAAATCATTGCTTTGTGTGTTGATATTGCATATGAATGCATCCACAAAAAATGTTTATGAGGGCTATTATTGATTTTGGTGTGCCTGAATCTCAAAACGTGCAGAACATTATTAAGACAGTACTTCAATAATGTCTACACAATCAATGGATGACAGTCCAATTTGGGAAGAAAGCAAAATCTGATGCACGTCAAAGATGATTACTATTTCTGTAAACGAAGACTCATTATCAGGGTGAATTCTAAACTTTGGAGGATAAGAAATTGTTATTAACAAACCCCATGGCTTGAAGTGAAATACATTGGAGAAATGTTATTTTCTGAATAAAATTGATATTTTATACTTATCCTGACTCATGCTATTTGCTTGTCTTCTTCTTCTTGCGAACATAGTGGAACACTTGTATCTCCCAATTGAAGTTCCCTTCAATGTAAAATAACTAATTAGTACTCACCACGAGTTATCTGTCCCCTCAAAAGTGCGGGAACGAGGACGGGAGGGCTTACCTCATGAGTCAGGATAAGTATAAAATATCAATTTTATTCAGAAAATTACATATTTTTCCTTATCCTGACTCATGCTATTTGCTTGTAGAATCCGACGGAAATGGAGGTGGGAATACAGAATACTTTAGATTTAGATAATTAGTGATTTTGTACTGTAATGACTGTAATAACCCTTATGGGAACTTCATAAAGGCACTGAATTGATGAATTCCGTCTGCTAACTTATCAGCTGCCATATATGGGTTATTACAATATAATTATTATGAATTACAACATGAATACTATGCTTAAGACTAAATAGACTTAAGCTTGACAATATGATAGCATAAACTTCATAGAGTTTGTTAGCTAATATACTTTTATGATATAACCATAGTACTGAGCTTAAGATATGATTAAACTTAAGCTAAATATATATAATAGCAAAAACTCCATAGAGTTTGTTAGCTAATATACTGTTATGATATAACAACCATAGTACTGCGCTTAAGATAATAAATGAACTTAAGCAAAATATATATAGCATAAACTTCCTAGAGTTTTTAGCTATGTAGTACTGTTATGAGATAAGTAGTAAAATCTATAAGATTGACTTATCTTTTCCGAGGAACTGTCAACTGTTGTGCGAGGACCATGGGACCGAAATGGTGAATACCTGAGACGTCCTCGGTGGTGATATCTCTCAGATAACGGTTGGCAAACACCATATCGGATCTCCAAACACAACCCTTCATTATGGTATTCAAAGAGCAGTTGCCGTGAAGAGCAAGTGTAGATGCTAGCGCTCTAATTTCATGAGGATTAGATGCTCTTGGAGGGTCGAGTCCTGCAGCTCTGTAGGCACGTAGTATGACAGTTCTGATCCAAATGGAGATAGAGACTTCAGTCTGCGTAGCTGTCGATAGAGGAATAAATAATCTCTTGAATTTATGTCTCCTCTGTTTGGATCGGTGTAGATATATTTTCAGTGCTCTCACTGGGCATAGTGATAGATCCATCGTATCATGAGGTCCAAGAATAGATGAGAGAGCTGGGACGTGAAATAACCTGTCTGGTTGGCCTGGTAATTGGTTCTTGGCGATAAAATCCCAACGTAGTCCCATATGCACGATGCTATGAATGTCATCAAAGCGTGTTCTCTCGTAATCTAATGCGTGAATCTCTGACATCCTGGCAGCCGTAGCTAGAGATAACAGGAACAAAGTTTTCTGAGTCAAAAATTCGAACGGTGTTGATTCTAATGGTTCATATGCCTCACTTGTGAGGTGTTGGAGCACTACATTTAGGTCCCAAGCTTGAGTGTGAAATCTGCGTTTCTGATCCTCCAATCGGAATGCACGTAGTAAGGCCAGTAACTCAGGGGTCTTGGTTAGCTTGACACCCGTTCTCATAGTTATGACAGAGCTTATTGCTGCAAGATATGTACATAAGGTGGAGCCTTTTAGATTTTTAGTCTGACGTAGATAACATAAGTAGTTAGCCACTTGAGGATGAGTAGCATATCTAGCTGTAAATCCTTTCTTTGCAGCATAATTTACAAAACTGTGCCACTTGTCATCGTACAAGTTGCGAGTGGAGTTACGCAAGGCAAGCGTGACTGCTTTCGCCGCTCTTGCTGAATAACCTCTTATATTTAGACACGACTTAATACAGTCCATACATGAAGTTGGAATGCTTCTGGCTTTCCGTGCGTTTGTTTGGTGTGCGGATGTATTAACAGATTCGGGCACTTTGGAAGTTGTAGTATTGGTTGTCCGATTTCTTGAATAGGAGTAGGAAACCACGTTCTCACTGGCCAGTAGGGCGCGACCAAAATCAGTTGGAGGTTCTGAGTTTGCTTGATTTTGTGTAACACTTGTGGGATTAACGCTGGCGGTGGGAGCGCGTACGCGTTGAGTCCTTCCCACGATATGCTTAGTGCGTCCGTTGCCCATGCTAGTGGGTCTGGAACTGGTGATACGAATGTTGTCAGTTGGTTGTTGAAGCGAGTGGCAAATAGGTCTATTAGTGGAGTTCCTATTTCCTTGATAATTTGTGCGAATATCTCTGTATGGAGCATCCATTCTGTCGGCGATGGTAGGTGTGGCTGAGAGAGAGCGTCTGCTATTACATTCTTTGCTCCTGGAATGTGACATGCTCTGACATGTATGTTGAGATTGTCGATTAAATCGAACAATTGAAAACATAGAGTCAATAGGTTCGGGGACCTGGTTGAGCCTTGTTTGTTCACATAAAACGCCACTGTTGAATTGTCTGTGTGAATCATCAACTGAGCATTCTGTAGTAAGTTGCTCCAGTGTCTTATGGCGTTTATCACTGCTTGCATCTCTAGCAGATTTATGTGTAATTTGCTCTCTTGCTTGCTCCATAGCCCTGATGCCGTCCTGTTGGCGAGATGGGCTCCCCAACCTTGTAGTGACGCGTCTACGTAGAGATGTGTTTTCAATTCCGGCTCTATTAAGAAGACGCTTCGCAAACATTTGATCTCTTGGTCCACCATAGTAGGTGAGGTTTGACGTGATCCGGTAGATTGAACGGTAGAGAGTCGTCAAGATGCGAATTGATGAGGACTTGCAACGGACGTAATTGTAGTCTGCCTCTGACTGTCATGTCTTGAGCTGACGTGAGTAACCCCAATAGGTTCTTCCACTGTCGTAGTGGTAGCGGAGAGAGTAAGGCTTGTGGGATTGACTGTTGGATCTTGATCCATCGGTCCTCCGGTACAACTATACGATTCTGTGCTGTTAGAAATCGTATACCTAGAAATTGCAGATCTTGCGTTGGCTCTAGGTCTGACTTGAGTAGATGTACTAACCATCCTAGTTGTGTTAGTAACTTGATAATAAAGTTCAGCTGTAGTCTGAGACGCTGTGGAACTGGATCCACTTGTATCCCGTCCTCTACGTAAAACGCGCTGCGAAGACCTTGACGATGTAGGTATGAGATGATAGGTTTCGTCACTCTTGTGAATAACCAGGGGGGCCAATGAGATTCCAAAAGGAAGCACTTTCCATTGGTAGTGTATTCCGTCTGGGATAAATCGCAGGTATTTCCTTGAATCTGGATGAATCGGAATGTGTAGATATGCGTCTTGCAGATCTATGCTGGCCATGTAGTCTCTGGGACGAATTAAGTGCCGTAGTTGCGGTAGGTGTATCATGCGAAACGCTGGCGGTTTGCTTAGATAGTCTCTGTTGAATGTGCTCATATTGTAGATGAGACGAAACTTTTCCTTGGAATTTTCCTTGGGCACTAGGAAAACTTGGGAGTAGAAACCTGGTTCAATCTTTACTTGATCCAGAACTTCTAAGGCCTGCTTGGTTAAAATTGTAGCTACTGCTTCTCTTAACTTTGGTAGTTGTAATGGATGGAAGTCGAACCTTGGAGGGATGACTGTCAATGGAGGTCTGGCCTTGAGTTGTATTTGATATCCGTCCTGTAGGTTGTTGGATACATATCGATCTCTTTCCCAGTGCAGATGAAGGCGTCCACCCACTTGAGATGGTTGTACTCGAACGGCTGGGGGGTGGAAGACTCCAGTCGTTCCGAACCTGTTCTTCATCGTTTATAAGTGCGGGAACCTCTGGATGACCTGCCTCTTGCTGATCCTCCTCTGTAATTGCTGTATGGGCGACGAAAAGACTCCTTAGAACCTTTTACTGTAGCCATTTTCTTGTCCCGTGCTTTCTGTAGTCCCGAGAATTTCGACTTGCCTGAATATCTCATAGACGTTTGCTTAATGACATTAGCTAACGCATCCATGGACTTAATCATAAGCACCTCTCTAGAGTCCTTAGAGACTTCTTTGGAGACCTTGTCTATGTTACCACCAAAGAGATATGGAGATGACCACGGGGGCAGAGTAGAGAGATTCAGTAAATTGATCACCCCAATTACAGAAGGCTAGGAGACCTTGACGACGAGCCATAGTAGTAGCTGCAGAAAGAGCTGTCAAGTAATCTGTTAGGAACTGCTAGTCTCTTTTCTGCATGAGGAGAGCCGAGTAAATCAACCTATCTTCTTCGTCTGTAGAGTCTCTGAACTTAGTGAGGAGAGTTTCATTGACAGTTCTAGATCTGTTCAGTCCAAAAAACATTCTCCTTGAAGTGGTTTCCAACTGGGCTAGCTTGCGGTCATCTATTCTGTAATTCCTGGACTTGACATCACTGATTAACTTAAAGTTCTCATCAATATCTTGAGCCTTGAAAAAGGAGTCCATATTGTGACTCGCAAACTTCTTAGAGTTGAAATACGGCAAATGTGCTGTCTGAGACTTCGTAGCTTTACTAAACGCTGCATCCAGATTAGATGGAACCGCTGCTATCGGGTCAATAGGAGGTAAGGAAATAGTGTCAGCATCATCTTCCTTCATCAGATAAGTATGGGCTGAGTTCTCGTTCTTAGACGGGGAGGAAACCATTCACCATCCAGTATCTAATTTCTGCATCCGAAAATACGATACCACTTCCTCTTCTGACGTCGGTTCACAGAGAATATGTTGCTGTTCATCCAATATAGACTGAGGTGGAGTCCTAGATCTGTATGAGGATCGACAAGAAGAATGTGGTGAACAGACCGACGAGTGGCTTCTATAGGGAGACCTTCGTGGAGACTTCCTTGGCGAACGATGGTGGCTACGTGAAGCTCTCGGTGAATCCCTTATAGATCTTCGGGATGAAGATAACTTGGAGCCACTTAACCTTCGTGAAGGCCTTCGTGAAGGTTGTGAGTCTGAGTCCGAATCATTAGATAGGATCTTGCTTCGCGAATGACCTCTGTGTTCTCAAGGTCTGAGCTCGGTGAAGCACTCCTCCTCCATGAAGCCTTTCGCGAATGGTGAGGATCAAGGTCCTTCGTGGGCTCAGAGGCCATACGTGAAGTCATGCCAGCGGGCTCAAAGGCCCTACACGACTATAAGTGGGGTGGGCTCAAAGGCCCGTGGCTCAAAGGCCTCTGTAGACCGTATCGATCTTCCATCAGCTTCATGATGTGGTTGACCAGGTCGTCTGGACGGTCTGCGCTGTTGTAGACGCTGCCTTCTCTATGGTAGCGACGGGACCCTCAGGTAGATTCTCTGCCGTCAGTGTAGGCATCTCCGACTGAGTGCTGATCTGCGCTGAGGTGACGGTAGCCGATACTGGTCGCTTCTTACGCCATACATCTGGAATGATGATCGGTTGGTCGTCATCATATAGGCCCAACTCTGATACAGGAAGTATGTCAGTTGAAAAAATATTACTAGTCTTCGTAGGTTTCCCTTTCGACGAAGATGTAGCCTTGGGGGTGCGGAGTGTACGTTGTGATGACGTGGAAGCCCTCCTGGTCTTAGACTGGGACGACGGGATGTCCTGGGATGCAGGTCGCTTCTTGGAGATAGCGGACTGCATCCCACGCCTCTCCCCCGAGGGTAACTCAAGCGGAACACCAGACGGCAGGGGGTCGTCCGCCAACAGTTGACAGGGTATATCAGACTCTGGTGTATTAGCCATGACTGAGGTCTGTTTCCGTGATCTATCTGCTACGCGTCTCAAGACGCAAAATAAATATTTATCAAAGGCAGAATTAGATAATTTAATACAATAATTGCAACGTGAAACAGTAGAGCATGGCGTAGTACAACTAGGGCATATAAAATGCGGATCAGCAGCAGAGAAACGTAATTTACAAACAGTGCAGATTTTCATCAACGCAATCTACTGAGCAAACACGGCGAACCGTGAATAAAACAGTAGAAACACGAATAAATATCAATGCATTATGTAGAAGGATACTAGTTACACCTCTATAGAAGATTATAAGAGGTAAATAACTAAGAATAAATAAAGGATATAATGTGTAGGGAGACACAGGTGCTCTCACGTCCTGCTCACTGGGCGAAGAAGGAGAGAGTGAGGCACATGGCAGGAGGTGGCGCCCTCGTTCCCGCGCTTTTGAGGGGACAGATAACTCGTGGTGAGTACTAATTAGTGATTTTACATTGAAGGGAAATTCAATTGGGAGATACAAGTGTTCCACTGTGTTCGCAAGAAAAAGAAGACAAGCAAATAGCATGAGTCAGGATAAGGAACAATTTACCTGTGTTCTGTACAGTGTTCATCTTAACAGAGGCATTTCAGGGTTCGAAATGCCCTATGTATTAGCGTGCCATGGCATGGTAAATATCGAAATGGCACAGATAAAAAATGTTCTCGGTGCCCTTATGGCACGCCTAATTTTTTAGAGACATAGCACACCTGTAGTCATGTAATCCCCAAACAAAACACTTAAGCAAATGACAAACAAGCAAAAACATTTATTGACTTTTCGCCCAGGAAATCACTGGAATTATGATGGATGATGTAAAGAAATCTGGTTGTTTTTCTATTGAGAGTGTTGTGAGTACTGATAGTTCAGTTAATGAAGAGTAAATTGTGTATGTTAGACATATTGAAAAAAGTGACCCTCTCACACGATTCTTAGCTATTAAAGGTGTTCGGAAAGCAGAACAAATGAAACATAAGAAAGCCATCTTAAACAGAAGACATCAACAAAAACTGGTTACCGGTACATTTGTTGTTTTCTGACAATATATTTCAATAGATCATCATCCTTGCTACAGTCATTGTTCTAAATACATGTGGGCACACTTGATTTCTGAAAGGCACACCTAAAATATTTGCCTGGTGCCCTAAGGCACACTTAGAAAAAAAAAATTCTATCCCTGCATTTTCAAATCTGGGCAGTAAAACAAATGAAGTTGAGTGTTTTTAGAAACAGACATCTCCTTGGTGAAACCCATTCATGCTTTACTTCAACTAAACTGTTACACAGGGTTCATCTGATACAACCCACAAGGCAAATGTCCAATCGTCATGCAGTAAGATATATCTCTGTAAACAGGGTTCACCTGATACAACCCACAAGGCAAGTGTCCAATCATCATGCAGTAAGATATATCTCTGTAAACAGGGTTCATCTGATACAACCCACAAGGCAAGTGTCCAGTCTTCATGCAGTAAGATATATATCTGTAAACAGGGTTCACCTGATACAACCCACAAGGCAAGTGTCCAATCATCATGCAGTAAGATATATATCTGTAAACAGGGTTCACCTGATACAACCCACAAGGCAAGTGTCCAATCTTCATGCAGTAAGATATATCTCTGTAAACAGGGTTCACCTGATACAACCCACAAGGCAAGTGTCCAATCTTCATGCAGTAAGATATATATCTGTAAACAGGGTTCATCTGATACAACCCACAAGGCAAGTGTCCAATCATCATGCAGTAAGATATATCTCTGTAAACAGGGTTCATCTGATACAACCCACAAGGCAAGTGTCCAATCATCAAGCAGTAAGATATATCTCTGTAAACAGGGTTCATCTGATACAACCCACAAGGCAAGTGTCCAATCTTCATGCAGTAAGATATATATCTGTAAACACTCTGATTTAAATGAGATGGACCACATTTAAGACACTTAGAATTCTACAAATACACATCCTTGCCCTTACTTTTCGAGTCTGTTCAACATTTCCAGTGCCTGTCCCCAGTAGAACTCTGCTCTGGTCTCAGTGTCAGTTGCCTTCACTGTCAACTCCGACCCCAACTGCTTCATCTCCGTGGCCTTCACCTCTAGTGATCTGGCTATGTGGATGATCAGGTTGACGGACATCCCGTGACTAGCCACTAGACGGACAGTTTCTATCCCTCTCTGCAGGGTGTGACGCATCTTGGAAAAGTTGTCCCTATTGTCAAATAAAATAGATGTCCTAAATCATGTGAACACTTTTCGATCCATACATAATACATAAGAAACAAAAATAGGACTACAATTGGGCAGGGAGAGGATGAAAAGGTATAGGGGGGAGAGTGTCCAAAGCAGATTAGTCAAGTATACTGGTAACAATGCAGAACACGCTCATTCTTATGCATGGGACAAATACCTAGCAGATTATCGAATGGTAAATACTGCAATCTCCTTTCATAAACAATTTTAGTGCACTTATTAATAATGCACCTAAAAATTGTGAACATTTTTTAATGTGTTGCAATCAGCAATACCAATTCAATGTAACAGTAACTGGACAAGCAAATATTCAAATCTGGACCAGAGAAAACAGTAAAACAATATTATGAGCATCAGGTATATTTGTAACAGTTTGCAAGAACACAGTTATGAGAATGAATGAGAGAGTGCTGAATACAAGCTACATGAAACCTACTTGACTGTGTTTATATGGAATTTATAAGCTGCCAGCCACCAGTCTGCCTGCTCCTGAGAACAAAGTGGTTTTGTCAGACACAGGGGTAGAAAGTCCGGCTGTGTGGGGTCAGTGTGACCCATGTGAATCATCTCCTGGTGTCTCAATGCTGCACAGCGAACTGAAGCAATCAGAAACACATCTGTGTCCAGCTGACACAGGGACTCGGCGCCACCAACAAACATGTTTTTTACACTGTACACACAATTCTCAAAGATGTCAAAGCCGTAGTAAGGCTGAGCCTTGTCTTTACAGGAGTACCGTTGGAGGGCTAGCCAGATGAAGCTGGTAAGACTGTGTGGGTGGAGCCTGTAGCAGCCTAAGTCAAAGGATCGCATCTGGGGCCGGGTGGGAAACAAGAGTACACTTTCCTCGTAGATCTGGTTCTTCATCAGGTAGGAACTATCTTTCTTTGCTCTCATATCCGGCTGGGTAAAGAGGGTGTCGTAAAGCTTCTCTCGACCTTGTTGTGTGCAATATTGCTGTCTCAGTTTCTGAGCCCATGTTGCCGTGTCTCCTTTACCCAGTGCATGTAAGGTGTGGCCTGTGGAAGAAGTTGAAATATGATGGTACTGTAGTCAATTTGGCATAACAGTGAACACAAAACAAACTATCCTCGATTAATAATGTAGCACTTAATAACCCTTTTCAAATTTCATCCTTGTCTCAAGCTTGCAACAGAAAACCAGGGTTTACCTTGACCTTCAAAACTAGAGGTCCAGAGGTTCTTCAATTACAAATCTCCATGATCCTTACAGAAAAACCTGGGATGTTGTAAAGTAAGGAAATGCTGTAAGACTTTCTTAATTTAACAACAGGAAAATTAGATTTACAGTCAAGAAGAATTATTGTGCATCCACAGGGTTGCAATGCATATTCTTTCCATAGCCACCCTATCGATTTTTGTGAACAGGATACACATTTCTCAGTCACATTAAACCCTGGAAAAAACAGCTTCTTTCAAATCAATGTATTGGATAATGAGACATGCACAAGCCCACTAGCCCTGGTCAGATTAGCTAATGCTAAAGATATCCTGAGGGCTAATAGAGTTTAGGAGTGGATCTTATCACATTTTGGGATAGTATCTGTTTCAGCTAAGTTACATCTGTTACATAAAAAACAATAAAATGAGTTAATGTTTAATCTCACATTATTATTCATGTCTCTTTTATGGGTATTCTTTAGAGTTAGATGATTTCCCTACAAGAACTGATGACATTTGTTATAATCTTTCAAATAACCAATATTTTGCATGCCTCATCATGAGATTAATCATAAATTGTCATTATGCTTTAAACCAACATCAGAATAAGACATGAACCATCACAAAAATTTCATCTGATACTGTGATCACGTGAGCTGGAATCAATCAATCTCACTTACGCCAGGGAGTATCAATGGGCTCGATATTCTTAAAAATGAAACACCAAATTAAATTTTAGAATGTATGTTTCTTAATATGTTTGATAAATCAAGACATAAACAAAACTGCAATGTAAACAACATACACGTGTACATGTCTCAACAGGAAGTGTCCTTGATTGTCTTGATCTCGGTATCAATTGGTGCCTGTCTTGTTTGCACAATGTTATGATTGAGTTTTGTGGTGGTATTTAAAAATGTATTTTTTAAAGTAAATTTGATACTACTTATCTCATAACAGTACTACATAGCTAAAAACGTTTATGCTAAAAAAGTTTATGCTATATATATTTTGCTTAAGCTCATTTATTATCTTAAGCGCAGTACTATGGTTGTTATATCATAACAGTATATTAGCTAACAAACTCTATGGAGTTTTTTGCTATTATATATTTAGCTTAAGTCTAATCATATCTTAAGCTCAGTACTATGGTTATATCATAAAAGTATATTAGCTAACAAACTCTATGAAGTTTATGCTATCATATTGTCAAGCTTAAGTCTATTTAGTCTTAAGCATAGTATTCATGTTGTATATACTTTTATCATAATATTTATATCGTAATAACCCATATATGGCAGTTGATAAGTTAGCAGCAGGAATTCATCAATTCAGTGCCTTTATGAAGTTCCCATAAGGGTTATTACAGTCATTACAGTACAAAATTGTTAGCTAATATACTGTTATGATATAACATCCATAGTACTGCGCTTAAGATAATAAATGAACTTAAGCAAAATATATATAGCATAAACTTCCTTGAGTTTTTAGCTATGTAGTACTGTTATGAGATAAGTAGTAAAATCTGTAAGATTGACTTATCTTCTCCGAGGAACTGTCAACTGTTGTGCGAGGACCATGGGACCGAAATGGTGAATACCTGAGACGTCCTCGGTGGTGATATCTCTCAGATAACGGTTGGCAAACACCATATCGGATCTCCAAAAAACAACCCTCCATTATGGTATTCAAAGAGCAGTTGCCGTGAAGAGCAAGTGTAGATGCTAGCGCTCTAATTTCATGAGGATTAGATGCTCTTGGGGGTCGAGTCCTGCAGCCTTGTAGGCACGTAGTATGACAGTTCTGATCCAAATGGAGATAGTAGTACGTGAGACTTCAGTCTGCGTAGCTGTTGTTAGAGGAATAAATAATCTCTTGAATTTTAGTCTCCTCTGTTTGGATCGTTGGACATATATTTTCAGTGCTCTCACTGGGCATAGTGATAGATCCATCGTATCATGAGGTCCAAGAATAGATGAGAGAGCTGGGACGTGAAATAACCTGTCTGGTTGGCCTGGTTATTGGTTCTTGGAGATAAAATCCCAACGTAGTCCCAAATGCACGATGTTATGAATGTCATCAAAGCGTGTTCTCTCGTAATCTAATGCGTGAATCTCTGACATCCTGGCAGACGTAGCTAGAGATAACAGGAACAAAGTTTTCTGAGTCAAAAATTCGAACGATGTAAATTCTAATGGTTCATATGCCTCACTTGTGAGGTGTTGGAGCACTACATTTAGGTCCCCAGCTGGAGCGTGAAATCTGCGTTTCTGATCCTCCAGTCGGAATGCACGTAGTGAGGCCAGTAACTCTGGGGTCTTGGTTAGCTTGACACCCGTTCTCATAGTTATGACAGAGCTTATTGCTGCAAGATAAATAGATAAGGTGGAGCCTTTTAGATTTTTAGTCTGACGTAGATAACATAAGTAGTCAGCCACTTGAGGATGAGTAGCATATCTAGCTGTAAATCCTTTCTTTGCAGCATAATTTACAAAACTGTGCCACTTGACATCGTACAAGTTGCGAGTGGAGTTACGCAAGGCAAGCGTGACTGCTTTTGCCGCTCTTGCTGAATAACCTCTTATATTTAGACACGACTTAATACAGTCCATACGTGAAGTTGGAATGCTTCTGGCTTTCCGTGCGCTTGTGTGCGCATGTATTAACAGATGTATTAACAGATTCGGGCACTTTGGAAGTTGTAGTATTGGTTGTCCGATTTCTTGAATAAGAGTTGGAAACCACGTTCTCGCTGGCCAGTAGGGCGCGACCAAAATCAGTTGGAGGTTCTGAGTTTGCTTGATTTTGAGTAACACTTGTGGGATTAACGCTGGCGGTGGGAACGCGTACGCGTTGAGTCCTTCCCACGATATGCTTAGTGCATCCGTTGCCCATGCCAGTGGGTCTGGAACTGGTGATACGAATGTTGTCAGTTGGTTGTTGAAGCGAGTGGCAAATAGGTCTATTAGTGGAGTTCCTATTTCCTTGATAATTTGTGCGAATATCTCTGTATGGAGCATCCATTCTGTTGGCGATGGTAAGTGTGGCCGAGAGAGAGCGTCTGCTATTACATTCTTTGCTCCTGGAATGTGACATGCTCTGACCTGTATGTTGAGATTGTCGATTAAATCGAACAATTGAAAACATAGAGTCAATAGGTTCGGGGACCTGGTTGAGCCTTGTTTCTTCACAAACGCCACTGTTGAATTGTCTGTGTGAATCATCAACTGAGCATTCTGTAGTAAGTTGCTCCAGTGTCTTATGGCGTTTATCACTGCTTGCATCTCTAGCAGATTTATGTGTAATTTGCTCTCTTGCTTCTCTTGCTTGCTCCATAGCCCTGATGCCGTCCTGTTGGCGAGATGGGCTCCCCAACCTTGTAGTGACGCGTCTACGTAGAGATGTGTTTTCGATTCCGGCTCTATTAAGGTGACGCCTACGCAAACATTCGATCTCTTGGTCCACCATAGTAGGTGAGGTTTGACGTGATCCGGTAGATTGAACGGTAGAGAGTCGTCGAGATGTGAATTGATGAGGACTTGCAACGGACTTAATTGTAGTCTGCCTCTGACTGTCATGTCTTGAGCTGACGTGAGTAACCCCCAATAGGCTCTGCCACTGTCGTTGTGGTAGCGGAGAGAGTAAGGCTTGAGGAAGTGACTGTTGGATCTTGATCCATCTGTCCTCCGGTACAACTATACGATTCAGAGCTGTTAGAAATCGTGTACCTAGAAATTGCAGATCTTGCGTTGGTTCTAGGTCTAACTTGAGTAGATTTACTAACCATCCTAGTTGTGTTAGTAGCTTGATGATGAATTTCAACTGTAGTCTGAGACGCTGTGGATCTGGATCCACTTGTATCCCGTCATCGAGGTAAAATGCGCTGCGAAGTCCTTGACGATGTAGGTATGAGATGATAGGTTTCGTCACTCTTGTGAATAACCAGGGGTGACTGCCATCGTTGAACTTTATGTAAAAATCGCCTGACTGCCGTGCCCTCGTCCTTACTTGACAGGGGAGGTCTCTAACCTCATGAAGGCAGCCCAATCATGAAGGTTCAGTTTAACTGGACTGTAATGGAGGCTTTGCTCGTTCACTGATATGTTGTTGTCACTTGCAACCTATGTCTTGAACTGTGAACTATTATCGACCTCTGCATAGGGTGTTGTCCCTCGCGGTCCAATTAGAACAAGGCATTCTGATTCTGTAGTGTACCCACGCTGTGATGTCACCGGTGTAGCAGGAAAAGGAACCTCGTATAATCTAGTGCCGTCGTTGATATTTGATCAATCGTCAGTCTTGTCCGTAACTTCCCGAAGTTACACGAGTGACCACGTGTTTCGAGGGTTAATGGTAAACGCGCGAATCTTTCGCCGCGAATTACCTCGCCCTGTAATATTAATGCTTGGTAAGTTATTTTCCTGGCTGCTGTGAATGTAACTTCAGTCTTGAAGATAATGCCGTCGTCCTTATATATAGGCTCAATAAAACTTGCAAGTTGTCAGCTTGTAAACTGCATACATCAATGCAGCGTCATAATTGGAGAATTAATGCTGAACTTGTTGTATATATTTCTTCTCAGGAAATCGTTGACGATTATGTGTTTTACTCGCTGTAACAAGGCTGCTGCTCAATTTCGTTATTGAATTGTCTGCAGATCTGTCCAAAGGTGAGGATCTCTATGATGTCATATATCAATCTATGTGTATCCCATCCTGGATTCCGACTGATGGTCCATGCTAGTGATGAATTATGATACCAAGTATCTTCTTGTAGTGTAATATCTATCTTCTGTCTGTGTACCGAAGAAGATATTTCCATTCTAGGATGATGCTATATCATGTCCTATTTGTATGATCTTGACGATCTGCGTAGTGATCTGCATAGTGGTCAACTTGGTGTGACTGTATCGCACCTTGCATGTAGATAATCATATCGTAGTCCGGGATTGCATACCTAGCAATATATACAGAAATGGTGATTCCTGAGATGATCTGCGAAACGTCGTTGATGCCCTTGATGTAGGTAGTCGGCCTGAAGATCCTTAATTAGGCTCTTCATCTGTAAATAGTACTTCGCGTAACTATGTAACGTTCAAGTTAAAAAGTTAAGTACTGCGACATCTCTGTCTTGTGGATGTCTGTGCGAATACCTTCTCGCAGGCTCGGTAATGACATATAGCGTTCTGTTGATAATATAAATACAGCGACGTTCTGTGTTGTAAATAGCCTGTGCGAATGCCTTCGCGTAGGCTTGTAGACGGCATGTGGCATACAGTTGATAGAAAAGTACTGCAATGTCTCTGCTTTGCTGGATACTTGTGTCTAAATCGGCGAGGGGATCGACGTGGTGAATAGCCTAACGAACTGTGCTTGTAGGGTGACCTGTAGCTTCGCTAAGGTCCTAATGAATCCCTCGACGAACTATAGGACGAAGATGTCTTGAACGGACTGACGAGTGGCTTCTATAAGGAGACCTTCGTGGAGACTTCCTTGGCGAACGATGGTGGCTACGTGAAGCTCTCGGTGAATCCCTTATAGATCTTCGGGATGAAGATGACTTGGAGCCACTTAACCTTCGTGAAGGCCTTTGTGAAGGTTGCGAGTCTGAGTCCGAATCATGAGATAGGATCTTGCTTCGCGAACGACCTCTGTGTTCCTCAAGGTCTGAGCTCGGTGAAGCACTCCTCCTCCATGAAGCCTTTCACGAATGGTGAGGATCAAGGTCCTTCGTGGAGGCGGGCTGGGATGTCCTTTGTGGAGGCGTGTCTGTGGGCTCAAAGGCCCTACGCGAAGTCATGCCAGCGGGCTCAAAGGCCCTACACCACTGTAAGTGGGGTGGGCTCAAAGGCCCGTGGCTCAAAGGCCTCTGTAGACCGTATCGATCTTCCATCAGCTTCTTGATGTGGTTGACCAGGTCGTCTGGGACGGTCTGCGCTGATGTAGACGCTGCTTTCTCTATGGTAGCGACGGGACCCTCAGGTAGATTCTCTGCCGTCAGTGTAGGCATCTCCGACTGAGTGCTGATCTGCGCTGAGGTGACGGTAGCCGATACTGGTCGCTTCTTTCGCTGCACATCTGGAATGATGATCAGTTGGTCGTCATCATATAGGCCCAACTCTGAAACAGGAAGTATGTCAGTTGAAAAAATAACGCTAGTCTTCGTAGGTTTTCCTTTCGACGAAGATGTAGCCTTGGGGGTGCGGAGACTACGTTGTGACGACGTGGAAGCCCTCCTGGTCTTAGGCTGGGACGACGGGATGTCCTGGGATGCAGGTCGCTTCTTGGAGATAACTCTCCCCCGAGGGTAACTCAAGCGGAACACCAGACGGCAGGGGGTCGTCCGCCAACAGTTGACAGGGTATATCAGGCTCTGGTGTATTAGCCATGACTGAGGTCTGTTTCCGTGATCTATCTGCTACGCGTCTCAAGACGCAAAATAAATATTTATCAAAGGCAGAATTAGATAATATAATACAATAATTGCAACGTGAAACAGTAGAGCATGGCGTAGTACAACTAGGGCATATAAAATGCGGATCAGCAGCAGAGAAACGTAATTTACAAATAGTGCAGATTTTCATCAACGCAATCTACTGAGCAAACACTGCGAACCGTGAATAAAACAGTAGAAACACAATTAAATATCAATGCATTATGTAGAAGGATACTAGTTACACCTCTATAGAAGACTATAAGAGGTAAATAACTAAGAATAAATAAAGGATATAATGTGTAGGGAGACACAGGTGCTCTCACATCCTGCTCACTGGGCGAAGAAGGAGAGAGTGAGGCACATGGCAGGAGGTGGCGCCCTCGTTCCCGCGCTTTTGAGGGGACAGATAACTCGTGAGTACTAATTAGTGATTTTATATTGAAGGGAACTTCAATTGGGAGATACAAGTGTTCCACTGTGTTCGCAAGAAGAAGACAAGCAAATAGCATGAGTCAGGATAAGGAAAAATTGTAATTTTTAAAGTAAAATTGATATTTTATACCTATCCTGACTCATGATCTCTTGCTTATCTCCTTCTATGCGAATGTTAGTGGAACATTTGAATCCCTTGTAGTTCCCTTAAGCGGACGTAAAAAGTTCACTCACCCACAAGTTACCTCCCTTTTCCCGCGCAAACAATCAATTAGACCAGCCATACTTGCCACTTTCTCCTTCATCGCCCAAGCGGATGGTTGGGCGAGCACTGGAGTCCCGTATACGGCATTATATCCTTTACATGTAGATCCTTTTATCCAAATTGCGCTGTGTTTGGTTTTCGGTTGTAACTAGCTTGCATTATATGTAAAAAAAATGAAGAAATTATTTGTATTTTGTGACTTATTTCATCGTTATGTAGTTGTTTACATTTGATGAAATCTTTCAGTGTTTGCAGGTTCCGGCTATCAGTGGCTGATCCTCACCCCCAATGCCCGTCATGCATTAATCCATGCTCTTCCACCTTGCGTTGTAGATATTGCATTGATTGAAGCAAAACATCATGAGTCAGGATAAGGAAAAAATTACAATCTATTATTGATCGATTGATATTGTAGTGAGTTTGGTTTTACGCCACTTTTAGCAAAAGTCCAGCAATATCACGACAGGGGACACCAGAAATGGACCAGACATTGTACCTATGTGGCAAATCGAGCCCGGGTCTTTGGCGTGACGAGCAAACACTTTAACCTCTAGGCTAACCCCACCGCCCCGATTGATATTGTGAGAGATAACCAGTACTAGTGATTACTGAGTAATTCCCTCACCTCCCTGGCTGCGCCGGAAGTTGCTGATCATGTGCAGATGATCATACATGCTTTTCTTATCCATGCTCGCTGACACAAACCACTCAGATCGTGAGTCTATGGTGAGGATGGAGTTGTTGAGAAGATAGCACACTGAAGCCTGGGGGATCACATCCTTCCACGACAGTACACCCTGAAATACAAACATCTGATTCAGAGGAGTAACTAATACCAGGGTTTCCAGATAAGGGCCGCATCGACGTATGTACGGATAAAAAACATGCACAATACGATATGGAACAAGTTGTTATGGATAACAACTTCTTTATTTCGTGAGTGCGACATTTCGATACAGATTCTTGTACCGTTGTCAAGCAAGAGTGATACATGAAGTGGAGGAGCTGCATATATATACTGTGTATAACAATGAAACTACATACATTGTAATTGACAAAGGAAACAACATAATTGCCATAATTGGTTAAGCGGTAAGCTGAAGAAGCCAGTGAGTACACAAAGGATAGTGAATGGAAGCCAGATATGTATAAATACAGGAGTAGTTACAATGAAGGAGATGTTTATACAATAGGTGCGATGTTTATACAATAGATTGGGCTTGGTGGAGGAGTGGATCATAAGCTGATGGAATGAAGTATCCTTGGTCACGGTTAATGGTGGGCTTCTGGCGTTTGATGTGAATGGCTTCGGTGAGCTTGCGTTTAGTGAAGTCCGTTTGGTTGTTGGCGAGAATGGTGAAGTCGGACCACTCTATTTGATAATTGGGGTTTGCTTTGATGTGGTCAGAGATAGCTCATTTGGTGTCGGAATTAGCAACAGAGGTGCGATGTTCTTTGACTCGGGTGTTGATGGGTCGGGATGTTTCACCTATGTAGCGTTGTCCACAATCACAGTTCATTTTATAAATAACACATTTCGGGTTGTTGTTGTTGACAGCTATCTCTGACCACATCAAAGCAAACCCCAATCATCAAATGGAGTGGTCCGACTTCACCATTCTCGCCAACAACCAAACGGACTTCACTAAACGCAAGCTCACCGAAGCCTCAACTCCAACATTAGCTGAAGAACAAGTTTCATATTGGATTTATATTGACGCCTCAAAGTCTAAGCCAGTTTTTCATAAAAAGCACAATAATTAAACAAAGTTACAGCACTGCCCAAAGATACACTGGTACATTAACAGCAAAGGGATTTGATATTTCTTAATATTTGCATTTTAAACCTAGATCGACTGTCATTTTGAAGTATGATCATGTCTCTACATATGTCTTTTGTACTTTTGTGACCTTGTACTATAACTATGACATCACAAACTGCACCGGCATTACTAACATGGCCTCAGATTTTCTAAATAACAAGTTTCTTTGCCCTCTGGACTTTGTCTCGATTTGTGATACGAGTCTTGCTTCTAGTCTATGTGGATAAGGTCACCGATGAACGTTTCTTATACATCAAGAAAAGGTCTCTAACTGTATTATGTTCACAAAATTATAAGCAGAAATTAGTTAACATGAAAAACTCTCCAAAATTTGTTCAAATGTTTAACAGTACATATGTTTAATATGTTCAAAGAGAAGGTCACAGTTGACACTGCTTTCATCATACATTTTGTACATGCAACTTAGTGTTAGGTCTGGCTGTCGATACAGAGATTGATGATTGTTGACTAAATATTGATCTAAACTGAACCGCAAAAGAAACGCAAGTCAAAATCCAGATGTTGAAAAACTTTACTTTTGACAGATAATACATGAAAACAGGTACATAAAAACAATCAACACTTTTTGCATGATGAATGGGACACGTCAGTCAATGCATGGAAACACTGTTGGTTTACTTTGCCTTGAAGACAAAATCGAAATTGATCCGACAAGTCAGTAGCGCGTATGTCCACCTCGTGCGTTCACTACAGCTGTGCACCGTCTGAACATGGAGTGAATCAGACGGTTGACAAAGGCCCTAGGGATTGCCGCACATGTCCGGATGATGGCTGCCTGGAGTTCTGCTGCAGTTGTCGGACGTGGTCGGACTTCATTCAGTCGTCTCTGCAGCTCGTCCCAAAAATGTTCGATCGGGTTTAAATCGGGACTGACAGCAGGCCATGGCAGGAGTCGGATGTTATGCTGCTGGAAAAATGCCTGAGTGACTCTAGCAGTGTGGGGCCTTGCATTATCTTGCTGGAAAATGTGTTGCTGGTGTCGGACGAAAAATGGCACAACCTGGGGTCGGAGGATCTGGTCGATATAACGTTGGGCAGTGACTCCATTTCCCCGACCTGGCCCAATATTCTGGAAGAATACTGGCCCTAATCTCTGATTCAGGCCAATCGCTGCCCATACCATAACGCTCGGACCTCCCCATGCATCAACTTGCATTACACATTCGTCAGCAAAGCGTTCACCTCGTCTTCGCCATATTCGAACTCGGCCGTCAGCATGAGAAATGCAAAACCGACTTTCATCAGAGAACAATACCAGTCTCCACTGTTGATGACGCCAGTTTCGATGCAACGTAGCCCACTGCAGACGATTCTGACGATGTCTCGGTGTGAGGATAGGACGTCGAGCTGGACGACGACAATGGAGGTGGACTGCTCTGAGTCTGCGCCGAACTGTATCTCCGCTAATTGCTTGGTTGTGACGTCCAATAGTCTGTCGGGCAGTCTCGTTGGCAGATAAGAATCGATCCCCGATGTGCGAACGTTGAATGTGTCGATCTTGCCATGGTGTTGTGACTCTCGGACGTCCAGGACGTTGGCGGTCAGCAGTTGTCTGTGTAGCAGCAAAACGTTCCTGAAGACGGTAGATGGTCGTTATGTGCAAATGGAATGCATTGGCAACATCTGCAACACTCTGTCCAGCTTCAAGACGGCCGATGGCTTGTTCCCTCTGTTGCGTCGTTAACCTTGGCATTCTTGGTGGGCGTTTGTCGGGAGTGATTTCAAACTGATTTGAGGGCATATTTATACCCCTATATGTCCGTTACATAATGCGCATCATGATTTTCATGAAAAACTTCTGCAACCACATCCCACGGCCAATTCAATTGCTGCGTTTTGGCGATGTGCAATATCCAAGAGAAATCACCAAACAGAACCTGAACATTAACAAACTGTTTTTTCACAACAAAGGTAACCAATGTATAGTTACACTATAATATTTAACAATGTTCTATCGAATATTTATTCATTTTGAAAAACTTGCGATTTTTATACGGTTCAGTATATTATCAATAAATGTTAAAACGTCTGAAAGAAATCAACATGTTTCACATCACAGGTGAGCAATGACATATTTAGGCATGGATGACTACCAAAACAGCGCCGTGAACATAATATAGAAACAGCTTATGTGTGAGCAAACAAAAACTATTTCCTCACAAAAGTTTATGAACGATTGTACCGGTTCCACTATTTCATTCATTCTTTCCATCGATGATCATATTTTTGCTATGAAAACTGGAGGGAACCCAATGAAAAGACAAGTTACCTTCTGGGCTCTTTTCAGCAACAGTGTGCCACAGGAGAAGAAGAACTGGCCGGTCATCTCAGTTAGGAATGACATCCAGTCATCCTGCTGCTTAGGAATCTGTACAGCTTCCTGAAGCACTTGGTCAAACCTGGGCACAAGGAACAAATCATATTCCATGATCCTACACCATCTTGACCTGATTCCACTCCAGGACATATCAATGATTCCAAACTAAGAAAACATGGCAATCAAAGTGGAGAGGCATTCTTGTTCAAATTTTTTTCCCTAAAATTTAGAACACCTTCCAACATTGCATATTTTCCTTACAGGCATTAATGTAAACCTAAGTATCTTGTCGTCCCTATTGGTCATGACATAACTAACATACAAGTCAGTCTACCAACCTACCGACCCATCACATAAGGTGACACTATATTAACATCAATGGGGAACATTTTAATTCCACACATGGAAATGTTTCAAACACCAAATACCAGCCTCTGGGCAGGTTTAGGCAAATCTCCATCAGCAGTCCTCAGCAAAGTCTGTCTGTCACGTAAATTTACCTTACCAGGATAAACGTCCGTTTAGATGATAACAAAAGTTTGCATCACAAACAGACATTCCATACAGTGAGGAACTGGATGATGCACCAATGATATTTATCTTTCTGCTGCACTGTTGGAACTGTATTCAAACAATTGTATACTTTATAAAATAAATTCGTTCAAAAAACACACAAGAATACAATAGAAAACAGGAGTGATAAAAAGTTATCAAAAAAATATTTTGCTACAAATAATGATAATACCTAAGAAAATATGTGACTACTCCATCTTTAATAGACTTCAAACAAATTTACTCCTGTTCCAGCTAAACACAAAAGGATGTAATTTTCTGAATAAAATTGATATTTTATACTTATCCTGACTCATGCTTATTTGCTTGTCTCCTTCCTCTTGCGAACACCAGTGGAACACTTGTATCTCCTATTGAAGCTCCCTTCAATAAAAACAGACGTAAAATCACCACTCACCAAGAGTTATCTGTCTGACCGTTTTGGCGGGAAAGCGGCGCCACCGTACTCCCATGCTTGACTCTCTCCGAATTATGATCCCGACACTTTAATTTACAGGGAAATCCAAAGTGTCTAGCGGGGAGGTTGGGAGGGCTTACCTCATGAGTCAGGATAAGTATAAAATATCAATTTTATTCAGAAAAATGTAATTTTCTGAGTAAAATTGATATTTTATACTTATCCTGACTCATGCTTATTTGCTTGTCTTCTTCTTCTTTGCGAACATAGTGGAACACTTGTATCTCCCAATTGAAGTTCCCTTCAATAAAAAATCACTAATTAGTACTCACCACGAGTTACCTCCCTTCCTGCAAGCGCGGGAACGAGGGCGCCACCTCCCACCTCACTCTCTCCTTATATTTCGAGCCCAACACTTTATTTTTCCGAAGAAATCCAAAGTGTTATGTGGGGAGGACGGGAGGGCTTACCTCATGAGTCAGGATAAGTATAAAATATCAATTTTACTCAGAAAATTACATATTTTTCCTTATCCTGACTCATGCTTATTTGCTTGTAGAATCCGACGGAAACGGAGGTGGGAATATATAATACTTTCGATTTTGATAATTAGTGATTTGAACTGTAATGATTGTAATAACCCTATGGGAACTTCATAAAGGCACTGAACTGATGAATTCCTGCTGCTAACTTATCAGCTGCCATATATGGGTTATTACGATATAATTATTATGATAAAAGTATATACAACATTAATATAAGCTGAAGTTATTAATGTGATAGTATAAACTTCTGAGAGTATATAGTGAAATACTTTTATGGAATAACCAAAGTACTAAGGCTAAGATATGCATAAACTTAAGCTATATGAGTATAGTACTGTGCTTTAGATATATTTTAACTTAAGCTATATAATAGTAACCAACTCCGTAGAGTTTGTTAGCTAATTCATTTATAAAATGTGACCATATTACTGAGCTTAAGAATTGATGATACTTAAGCTAAATATATATAATAGCAAACTCCGTAGACTTATCTTCTCCGTGGAACTGTCAACTGTTGAGCGAGGACCATGGGACCGAAATGGTGGATACCTGAGACGTCCTCGGTGGTGATATCTCTCAGATAATTGTTGGCAAACACCATATCGGATCTCCAGAAACAACCCTCCATTATGGTATTCAACGAGCAGTTCCTGTGTAGAGCAAGAGTTGAGGCTAGCGCTCTAATTTCATGAGGATTAGAAGCTCTTGGAGGGTCGAGTCCTGCAGCCTTGTAGGCACGTAGTATGACAGTTCTGATCCAAATGGAGATAGTAGTACGTGAGACTTCCGTCTGCGTAGCTGTAGATAGAGGGATAAATAATCTCTTGAATTTAGCTCTCCTCTGTTTGGATCGTTGGAGATATATTTTCAGTGCTCTTACTGGGCAAAGTGATAGATCCATCGTATCATGAGGTCCAAGTATGGATGAGAGAGCTGGGACGTGGAATAATCTGTCTGGTTGACCTGGCAATTGGTTCTTAGCTATAAAATCCCATCGTAGTCCCAGATGATAGATGTTATGAATATCATCAAAGCGTGTTCTCTCATAATCCAATGCATGAATCTCTGACATCCTGGCAGCCGTAGCTAGTGCTAACAGGAACAAGGTTATCTGGGTCAGTGATTCAAACGATGTAGATTCTAACGGTTCATAAGCCTCACTTGTGAGGTGTTGGAGCACTATATTTAGATCCCAGGCTGGAGCGTGAAACTTCCGTTTCTGATCCTCCAATCGGAAAGCTCGTAACAAAGCGAGTAACTCAGGGTTTTTTGTTAACTTGACGCCCGTTCTCATAGTTATGACAGAGCTTATAGCTGCAAGATAAGTGGACAAGGTTGAGCCTTTTAGATTCTTAGTTTGTCGTAGATAACATAAGTAGTCCGCCACTTGAGGATGTGTAGCATATCTGGCTGTAAATCCTTTCTTTGCAGCATAATTGACAAAACTGTGCCATTTGTCATCGTATAAGTTGCGAGTTGAGTTACGCAGGGCAAGCTTGACTGCTTTAGCCGCTCTGGCAGAATAACGTCTCTTATTCATACATGCCTTGATACAATCCATACGTGAAGTTGGAATACTTCTGGATTTTTGTGCACTAGTTTGGTGTGCAGATGTATCAATAGATTGGAGCGTTGTGGAAGTTGAAGAATTGGTTGTCCGATTCCTTGAATGAGATCTGGAAACCACGTTCTCGCTGGCCAGTAGGGCGCGACCAAAATCAGATGGAGGCTCTGCGTTTGACTGATTTTTTGTAAGACTTGTGGGATTAACGCTGGTGGCAGGAAAGCGTACGCGTTGAGTCCCTCCCACGATATGCTTAGTGCATCCGTTGCCCATGCTAGTGGGTCTGGAACTGGTGATACGAATGTTGTCAGTTGTTTGTTGAATCGAGTGGCGAATAGGTCTACTAGTGGAGATCCTATTTCCATGATTATTTGATTGAATATCTCTGTGTGGAGCATCCATTCTGTCGGCGACGGTAGGTGTGGCCGAGAGAGAGCGTCTGCTAATACATTCTTTGCTCCTGGAATGTGGCAAGCTCTGATATGTATGTTTAGATTGTCGATTAGATCGAATAATCTGAGACATCGAGCCAGTAGGTTCTGTGACCTTGTTGAGCCTTGTTTGTTCACATAAAACGCCACTGTTGAATTGTCTGTGTGAATCATCAACTGAGCGTTCTGTAGTAGGTTGCTCCAGTGACTTATGGCGTTTATCACTGCTTGCATCTCTAGCAGATTTATGTGACATTTGCTCTCTTGATTGCTCCATAGGCCTGACGCTGTCTTGCCGGCAAGGTGGGCTCCCCAACCTTGGAGTGACGCGTCTACGTAGAGATGTGTTTTCGATACCGGCTCTACTAAGAAGACGCCTGTGCAAACATTCAATCTCTCGGTCCACCAGAGTAGATGAGGTTTGACGTAATCTGGTAGACTGAATGGTAGAGGGTCCTCGAGATGCGCATTGATGAGGACTTGCAACGGACGTAATTGAAGCCTGCCTCTGACTGTCAAGTCTTGAGCTGATGTGAGTAGTCCCAATAGGCTCTGCCACTGTCGTAGTGGTAGCGGAGAGAGTAAGGCTTGAGGGATTAATTGTTGGATCTTGATCCATCTGTCCTCCGGGACTACTATACGATTCTGGGCAGTTAGAAATCGTATACCTAGAAATTGCAGATCTTGCGTTGGTTCTAGGTCCGACTTGAGTAGATTTACTAACCATCCTAGTTGAGTTAGTAACTTGATTATAAAGTTCAGCTGTAGTCTGAGACGCTGTGGATCTGGATCCACTTGTATACCGTCGTCTAGGTAAAATGCGCTGCGAAGACCTTGACGATGTAGGTATGAGACAATAGGCTTGGTCACTCTTGTGAATACCCAAGGGGCCGATGAGATTCCGAAGAGAAGTACCTTCCATTGGTAATGTTTCCCGTCTAGGATAAATCTTAGATATTTCCTTGAGTTGGGATGAATCGGAATGTGTAGATATGCGTCTTGCAAATCTATGCTGGCCATGTAATCTTTGGGACGAATTAAGTGCCGAAGTTGCGGTAAGTGTATCATGCGAAACGCTGGTGGTTTGCTTAGATATTCTCTGTTGAAGATGCTCATGTTGTATATGAGATGAAACTTTTCCTTGGAATTTTTCTTTGGCACTAGGAAAACTGGGGAGTAGAAACCTGGTACGATGTTTCGTTGATCCAGAACTTCTAAGGCCTGTTTGCTTAGCAGAGTAGCTACTGTTTCTCTTAACATAGGTAGTTGTGCCGGTTGAACGTCAAACCCTGAAGGGTTGACTGTTAACGGAGGTGTGGCCTTGAGTTGTATTAGATATCCGTCCTCTAGGATGTTGGATACATAAGGATCTTGTAGTATTCCCCAGTTTTCCCAGTGCAGCTGAAGGCGTCCACCCACTTGAGAAGGTTGTACTGGAACGGCTGGGGGTGGAAGACTCCAGTCGTTCCGAACCTGAATTTCATTGTCTAAATCCGCGGGAACCTCTGGATGATCTGCCTCTTGCTGATCCTCCTCTGAAATTGCTGTATGGGCGACGAAAAGAATCCCTGG